TATAGAATAGGGAGTTGAAATACTATATATATATATATAGAATGGGTATGGGTAGAAAACCTGGGTAGTATGCGTGCCCTTATATAACTAATTCAAAGTGTGTACTACTCTCACCCACCTAGAGTGTAAGCGAGATGTACTCTTTAGGGTTTTTAAAACATACAACGAAAAACATACAACGAGCATCCAGTATATAGTAACAAAGAAACACACCAAATGTGATGAAAAGCCATACCTGTAATCGCCTATTTCAAACATCATATCCAGGTATACAGTGGCCTTCTTGTTGTCCATTGTTTCAGCAGTTTGGTAGTGGTATGCTAGATTAGCAGCAGCATTCGCACAGCCCCACCTAAAAGAGTATCCGCCCATTATATTAGAAAGTATCAGTATTAAGATTATCTCACTATCCGGCTTACAGAGATTTCCTACTCGGGGTTCGTTCTGTATGGGTGATTGGAGACTGTTGGCGTTGGAATGACGCTATTCCTCTGGCTCTTGGAAACTCTGTCTTCAATTTTCTAGCGTATTTGGCACCAATCAGTATCAAACATAGAAAACACCTCTAACAACAGGCACAGAAACGTAATATGTTAGTTTTTGATATATCAAAATGATATCTGTACAATCCCCTGCACTCACCTAAGTCACTTTGCCTTCAATTTCAATTTAAGGTTCGTAGTGTGAACAAGGACTCGAAACAACTTAATCACCCAAAATCAAACACCCAATGAGTCCTGCCGGACTTGCCCGCCAGTCTTGTTTTTGTTTTTATCTAGAGGGTCATGACCTCATTCAGGTTCATTATTGATATCTGACCGAGGGGTTCCCACATACCTTTGAGCTTCTTTATCTTCATTGAACGGTCTGTGGTCAGAGCAAGGCACTGCAGTGCCTAGCTCGTAATACTTGAGAAACTGGAACGATCCTTTCTTTTCATAGAACACTCCAAGCGTGTTGGCCGCGTGGCAGTTGCCCATCTTGGACGCGAGGTCTAGCCATCTCACCTGAGATGTGGAGATAACATTCAAAAACATAACCAGAAAGAACCATTTCAGTAACAGCACTTAACGAATCAGTCAGATGAAACAACTTCGTCTGGGATAGGGGCAGGAATAATCAAAGTGAGTGTCAGCTTCAGCATTGCATTTGGTATGCGGGTGAAACAAAATAAGACATTAGCCTGAATCAATTTATCGGAGATGTGATGAATATGCCCGATGTTGGTGCTATTAGCTTGAGCACTCCAAAAATACCAGCGCAAACGGTAGAGTGTGTTTGTGAGTTATGTGCCGCAGAATGCGAGCACACGATCTAACCCCATCAAAGACCATGATACGAACAAAATGAGAAAACAATGTTACGGCGGCTATTGAGCTTGAACATACTCAGAGCGAGCTTTGCGCCTTGTTCAAGAAGCACCTGAGATATACATCATAAAACTAATAGAAGTTTACCTGCAGGGGAAGGGGAATAGTTATTTGGGCGTATCTTATGGGACTGTATACGTGCGAGGAAAACGATCCAGGCCAATTCGCAAAGACCACCTACCGCCTCAATTTCGCTGGATTCGACACCGAAACCACCCTGTTCATATATCAAGCCAATCTTATAGGCAGCCATTCGAGCTATCATATAGTTGCGGCCAGTCTTGTTCTGACCGACAGAGTAAGCCAACCCTAAGTGTTCCACTGCGGCGGTATGGTTGATGAATGTGTACCCAAGACATTCCTTCACCGTAGAAACATACGACCCATTCAGAATACTTGTACCCACATCGTATTCGGTTTCAGCCAAAAAACTGTGATGTCAGCATAGGTACAAAGGACGATATGCAAGCTATTATATATCAGGTTGCAATAGCATTCGAATAATATATATATATATATATATATATATATATATATATATATATATATAT